AGCTGGCCTGGACTTCTTCATTATTAGAGAAATTTTAAATGATGGTGTACATAGTAGATTGTGTGAGTTTTATCCCATTTTAGAATTATTATACAGAGCGGATGTCACTGATGAAAAGTTAAAGGTGAACATTTCATGTCATGATTCCCTGAGGCTCTGTTAATCGACATCCTAAAACAACGGCCATCTTCCTTTGCACAATCACACTGAAAATTACAGAAAACAGTTATATAAGATGGTCACTTATTCCTGTTACTGGGGAATCATGAGATTGGAACTAAATTATCAAGGGGGTGGAATTGCAGTTAAGGAAAAAAGCTAGCCACATATTCTAGTCACTTTGCGACAATTTGATTGCCCATTATTTCAATGGTTTTCCCTTTTAATGTCATTCAATAAGGTACTGTCAAATAAGAACTGGTATCCATGCAGTTAGATTAATGCATGGGTCAATTTTGGTGAAATTTTAATGGCAATGGATTGCACACACGTAGACAGAAATTCTCAGAGACAGTAAGAACTGCCGATGCTGGAATCAGAAATAACACAGTGTGGTGCTGGAGGAACACAGCGGGCAGGCAGCATCAGAGGAGCAGGTAAACTGACGTTTTGGGTCAGGACCCTTATTCAGAAATGGGCGAGGGGGATCTCCGAAATAAATAGAGGAGGAGTAGGGCTCGGGAAGGTAGGTGGGATGGTGATAGGTGAGTGCAGATAGGCAGTGGTGGGGATTGGTCAGTGAGGTGGGAGGAGCGGATAGGTGGGCAAAAAGATGGACAGGTCAAGGAGGCGGGGATAAGAGGGAGGGTTGGTCATGGAATGAGGCCAGGGGTGGGGAGATTTTGAAACTAGTAAAGTCCACATTGAGACCATTGGGTTGTTGGGTCCCAGGCGGAATATAAGGTGCTGCTCGTCCAGTTTCCGGGTGGCGTCATTGTGACACTGAAGGAGGCCCAGGATGGACGTGTCATCCAGGGAGTGGGAGGGGGAGTTGAAGTTGTTCGCCACTGGAAGGTGTTGTCGTTTGTCGCAGACAGAGCGCAGGTGCTCTACAAAGTGGTCTCCGAGCCTCCGTTTGGTCTCACCGACGTAAAGGAGGCCACATCGGGAATAGCGGATGCAGTAGATCACATTAGTGGATGTGCAGGTGAACATCTGTCTGATGTGGAAGGTTTTATTGGGTCCTTGAATAGAGGTGAGGGGGGGAGGTGTAGGGGCAGGTGTAGCACTTCCTGCGGTTGCAGGGAAAGGTGCCGGGGGTGGTGGGGCTACTGGGGAGTGTGGAGCAGACAAGGGAGTCGTGGAGAGAGTGGTCCATCCAGAAGGCAGATGGGATGGGGAGGGAAATATATCCTTGGTTGTGGGGTCAGATTGCAGTTGGTGGAAGTGGCGGAGAATGATGCATTGCATCCAGAGGTTAGTGGGGTGATACGTGAGGATAAGGGGAATTCTGTCTTTGTTTTTATTGTGGGAGGGGGTGTGAGGGCAGAGGTGTGGGAATCGCAAGAGATGCGGTCGAGATTGTTTTCGACCACTGAAGGGGGGAGGTTGCGGTCCTTGAAATATGAGGACATCTGGGATATGCAGGAGTGGAACGCCCCATTTTGGAAGCAGATGCAGCGGAGGCAGAGGAATTGGAAGTAGGGGATCGCATTCTTGCAGGAAGGTGGATGAGAGGTGGTGTAGTCTAGATAGCTGTGGGAGTCGGTGGGTTTGAAATAGATATCAGTTTCGAGGTGATCACCAGAGACATCCGCCAATGTCGCTCCGCCCACTGCCCCCACAGCCACCAGCTCTATAGCCAACCTCAGCCCCAAACCCTGCCGGGTCTTTACCATCCCCCCAGATCTCCCCCTCACTGAGGGTAAACGGTCAGTCCTCAGTAAAGGACTCACCTTCATCCCCTCTGCCCGAACTTCAATGAATACCGTTCATGTTTGGATGTTAAACAGTTTTTCCACTGCCTCCGTGCCTATTTCTTTAACTGCGTGTCTAACCCACCCTCTACCAACCCCTTCTCCTGCCTGCAACACACCCCATCCACCTGGACACCACCCCAAGGCCTCCCTCCCTCCCTCCACCTCTTCATTTCAACTGCCATCACGAAATCGATCGCTTCAACCTCTCCATCCCTCTCACCCACTCCAACCTCTCCCCTACAGAACGTGCAGCCCTCCGCTCCAACCCTTACCTCACCATAAAACCCGCAGACAAGAAAGGCGCAGTTGTAGTATGGTGCACTGACCTTTACATCACCGAGGCCAGGCGCCAACTTTCTGACACCTCCTCCTACCGCCCCCTCGATTATGACCTTACCCCCGACCACCAAAACATCATCTCCCAGACCATCCATAACCTCATCACCTCAGGTGACCTCCCACCAACAGCCTCCAACCTTGTTCCCCAACCCGCATCACCCGTTTCTATCTCCTTCCCAAAATCCACAAACCTGACTGCCCTGGTCGACCCATTGTCTCCGCCTGTTCCTGCCCCACTGAACTTATCTCCACTTATCTCGACTCCATTTTCTCCCCCCGGTCCAGGAACTCCCCACCTACATCCAGGACACCACTCACGCCCTCCACCTCCTCCAAGACTTTCAATTTCCTGGCCCCCAACACCTCATCTTCACTATGGACGTCCAAACCCTATACACTTGCGTTCCCCACGCAGATGGCCTAAAAGCCCTCCGCTTCTTCCTCTCCCACAAGCCCGACCAGTACCCCTCCACCGACACCCTTATCTGCCTAACCAAACTCGTCCTTACCCTTAACAACTTCTCCTTCAACTCCTCCAAATTCCTACAGACGAAGGGGGTGGCCATGGGAACCTGCATGGGCCCAAGCTATGCCTGCCTCTTTGTAGGATATGTGGAACAGTCCCTCCTCCGCAGCTACTCTGGCCCTAAACCCCACCTCTTCCTCCGTTACATCAATGACTGTATCAGCGCCGCCTCGAGCTCCCACGAGGAGCAGTTGGAGTTTTGTTAAGATGAAGTGATGGACACTTTAGAGAAGGCATAGAAAGACTTGAAGGAACTACAACTACAAAGTGGTGGTAGGAAAGTAGGCACACAGACGATTGAAGCAAGACTAGAAAGAAAGAAGCAAGAGTATCCTACCACCACATCTGGAAGCTTAGGTGGGATGAGAGAGAATAAGGGATTTAAAACAGACATAAAAGAATTAAAATATCCAATCTTGTATTAAATTTGGAGGAATCCTCAAGTGGTACTTTTCATGACACTGCATCAGTCTTTCATCATTACAATTTTAATGAAGTTAACATCATATTAATGTTAGGGCATGGTCTATTTTTTAAAAAAGACCTTTAAGGTGAATGATTTTGCACTTTTTTAAAATTCACTTGGGAGGCCCTAGAAATAGTGAATGCATTGGTGATCATCTTCCAGTTTTCTATAGAGTAGTGGATTGGACAGTAACAAATGTAATCCCACTATTTAATAAGGGAGGCAAAGAGAAATCAGAGAATTATAGACTAGTCACACGACATGAGCATTGGAGAAGATGCAAGAGTTCATTATAAAAGTCTTATTAGCTGAGCACTAGGAAAATAGTGCCAGGATTGGACACAGTCAGCGTGGATTAACTAAACGTAAATCATGCTTGTCAAATCTACTCGAATTCTTTGAGGATGTAACTAGTAGAGCTGATATGGGACAGCCAGTGCTTGTGGTTTATTTGAACTTTCAGAAGGCTTTCAACAAAGTCCCACATAAGAAATTAGCATGTAAAATTAAAGCACATGGGATTGGGGGGTAATATAGAGAAATAAATAGAAACTGGTTGGGCAGACAGGAAACAAAGAGTAGGAATAAACAGGTCTTTTCTTGAATGGCAGGCATTGGCTAGTGAAGGTATCAGTGTAAGGATCCGGCTATTCACAATATATGTTAATGATTTTAATGAGGGAACAAAATATAATATCTCCAAAACTGGGAGGATGAGCTATAAGGAGGGTGCAGAGTTGCTTCTGTGTGATTTGGACAAGCTGAGTGAGTAGGCAAATGCAGTATAATTTGGATAAGTGAGTTTATCCACTTTAGGAACAAAAAGACAGATTCATTATCTGGATGGGTAGAGACTGAGACAGGGGTATGTGCAATGTGAACTGGTTGTCCTCATACACCAGTCAGTGACAGTAAGCAATGCATGTGCAGCAGGTGGTCAAGATGCAAATGGTACGTTGGCTTTCATAGCAAGAGGTTTCAAGTACAGGAGCAAAGATTTCCTGCTGCAATTGTACAGAGTCTTGGTGAGACTACACCTGGAATATTGTGCGCTGTTTTGGTGTCCTTTTCTAAGGGAAGATGTTCTTGCTAGAGACGGAGTGCAGTGAATGTTTACCAGGCTGATTCCTGGGAAGGTGGGACTGCTGTATAAGGAAAGGTTGAATCAATTCGGGTTATGTTTGCCAGAGTTCATAAGAATGAGGGAGCATCTCAGAAACTCATGAAATTCTAACAAGACTAGATAGAGGAAAGGTGTTCCCCTTAGCACAGAAACTAGAGCCAGGGGTCATGGTCTAAGGATACAAGGGTAAACCATTTATGTTCAAGATGAGGAGAAATTTCTTCACAAATGGAGTGGTGAGCCTACGGAATTTGTTATCACAGAAAGCAGTCAAGGCCAAAAAACTGTACGGTTTCAAGAAGGAGTCGGATATAGCACTTGGGCTGAAGGGATCAAAGGATATTGGGAACAGGTTATTGAGTTGGATGATCAGCCATGTTCATAATGAATGGTGAAAGAGACTTGAATGGCCAAATGGCCTATTCTTGCTCCTATTTTCAACATTTCTATGGGATGTGGGCGTCGCTGGCTGAGCCAGGACTTATTGGCTATTTCTAGTTGCGCTTGAGAAGGTGGCAGTGAGCTGCTCTGTTGCTATAAGATAATGCACTGATTTATTATTACCTAACATAAGAGAAACTTCTTCACCTTAGCTATCTTCTAATCTGATGAAATACTGTACAATAATAGAGTTGTGTACTGCATTTATTAAACCAGGACTTCAGATACCTGGCTATATAATTAAAAATTACAATGTTTACATAGGTTGGATGATATCTGTAATAGCATGCAAACCAGCTGCAGTTTTAACACAAGTTACAAAATTCAGGAAACCAGTTCATTTTTCCCCATTTATAATAAAACAATACTCTATTTTCTTGAAAATATTTCAGACTGTTATACACACATTAAAATATTTTAAACCTTAACGTTGCTTTTACTGTGTCATAGATTTTACTAGAATGAGTAAAAAATACTGATCACATGCGCTGCATAAAATGCTTAATTGTAAAATGTTTCTTTTGGTAGCATTCATTTGAATACAATGCGATAATGTAAGCAGTATATTAAAGCAAACAAGTTAAACTGACAGACTAACTAGCAAACAGTAATGCATATTACAGTTGACACAAAATGTAAACATGGCCATTTCCCAGCTTTATAAATTTAGCATGTATCTTATACTTACAACACTAAATGAGGCAGCAGTTAATTAAAATACAGGTCTTAGACTATTGCATACTTGCAAAACATGATTGTCATAGCTATTGTCTTTGTACTTTTCTAAAGAAAAAGGACAAATTAATGAATGCATGCAAAATATGAATAACATATCACTTATTCTTTCATCTTTACTAATCCTGAAATATAATAATAGCTCCTGAAACTTGAATGTGAACATAAACTTTGACATTTCTTAGGTGTAATTTTCTTGTGTTTCTGCTTGAACGTCTGAAGACTTCAGCAAGTTCAGAAATAAATATTGATATCTATCTTGGATATGTCACATCTTTGAAATTTAAACTGTAACGCTAAACATCCTTTTTTCCCCCCCAGGGATTCATTCAATAAACAGGTAAAACATCAATTTTGGAAAAGGTCTTCATTGCTGCAATGCATATGAAGATATCATTATATTTTGTCTGGCTTGTTTTCATGATGGGTAGGGGGGTTGCAATGTTGGAAGGTGTTGAGCTTTGATACTCTAAGGTAAATCTCCTTTTTCTAAAATCAAAATCCTGAGAAATGTTGACCTGTTTTTGCTCCTATACTTGGTCACATGAATCCATCAGTGTTAATTACAAGAACACAAAGTACTACAGGTGCAGAAATGATTACAATTCTCAATAGAAGTATATTCAATTTATCCAAATATCACTTGACATCACAGTAAACAGTTTTATTTCTCACAGCTGTCTTGTCATCTGGTTGAGACTTAGTGGAGGCCTATATTTCAATATGGGGCAATGTATCTGAGGGTTTATGCATGGGAATGTCATCACCCAATTGCTGGCATTTTGCCTATGTTTGCATGTGTTTCATTGATTTGGATTTGGGTAAGAAACTACAGCAGTAGAAGCCTGATGATGTTCTTATCAGATTTAGGACTGAACTGAGAAGAAATTTCTTCACCCAGAGGGTTGTTAATCTATGGAATCCTTGCCCAGTGAAGTAGTTGACGCTACTTCAGTAAATGTTTTCAAAAAAAACGTACATTTTTTTTGAACAATAAAGGAATTAAGGGATACGGTGAGAACACGGGTAAGTGGATCTGAGTCCACGAAAGGATCAGTCATGATCTTACTGAATGGCGGAGCAGGCTCGAAGGGCCAGACGGCCTACTCCTGCTCCTAGTTCTTATGTTCTTATGATATCCTCAGCTATCTGCATTTTATTTGCTCCAGGCATGCTGTCTGGCTTTCCACCACTGTGATCATGGCACCATGAGAGTGTGTAGATATTTTCTGCAGATTCAGAGAACCATTTGAGGAATGAGGTACACTGGCCCTTTTAAATTCCAATAAGCTTATTCACTTGGCATTCTAATGAAGGTACAGCCATGGAGACACTTTATATATTTGGTGAGTCCTGCTCACCCAGAGGCATTTTAGGATAGACAACTACTCGGCAGCATTGGCATCAAAGCTGTGAAGACCACCACGTTATGTAGACTCTGACTGCTGTATACGCACAACAATTTGATTGTTTCATTTCCTATAACCTGTGTAGTTACCGGCTGGATTTGTTTGCAGCAGAAACTTCAGAACAAACCATTTGCCCAGAAAACGTTTCAAGGGATTTGCAGACACTTATTTATGAGAAAATTTATAAAGAGACAAAATCAGCTGAAAAGTAATTGGAAAAAATTTTGGAGTTGTTGCCAGCCTTACGGTTAAAGGTGAGTTATTGCTGGATTAACTTAAATTTCAAAATCTTGCACAACAGTCAGCATTTAAATTTGAATAAATACCAGTCTTTAAATGGTGTGATCCTGACTACATGGTTGCGTTGTGAAGAATAATAGGGTATTAATTCAATGGTAATAAATGCTATCATGGTGGCAGTGATGAACCTGCACATGTCCTTGAAGGATGCCCAAGTCTGAGCCAAAATTGGAACTCAAGCCATATTAATCGGAGAGAGAGGCTGGCACTTCTCAAAACTCCACAGGGAGTGCATCCATTTAAAGAAATGGATGCTAGACAGCTCACCTCTCTACTGGCCCATTCTTAGGTATGTGGGGTGTGGTTAATCAAAACAAAGTGGAGTTGGGGACCATTTCTGCTTCTCCTGACACCAACAAATTAATTTGTTTCTTTTTGCTAAAAATCTTGCCTTTCAGAATCAGTCAACAAATGACCACTTAAGAATCTTGAGTGGACTTGGCTCAGCTCTTTGTCTTTCAAATACTGAATTTAGCAGAGGGGCCCGAAAACTGACTTCAAGTCCCTTACTTCAATAGCACATGTTCTAAGTTGCCTCTGGATGCAAGGAAACTGCAAAACTGAATACCAAGATAACATCTTGTAGTCATGTTTTGTATGTGGAATGTTAAATCTTGACTTTCATTGTATCCATCTTATGTCATTCTCTCCTAAAGACAGTGTTTCACTGGATCTCTATGGATTCCACAACCCTCAAACACCTGAATGAGTAATGTTTCTTCATGTTATATCTCATATTTGAACAATTAAAATAGGGCAGTTAAAACTGAACATCGGAATGCTGAGACATTTGATTGTGACTCTGATCCAGACATTTGATTGTGAGTCTCATCTAGGTTAAAATGAGGAAAAGATTAGCCTCTTCCTAGTAGTTATTTTATATGCCACCTTTAACAAATTATTATGTAAACTTTGTGGTAACTTATCACATGACAATGATGTTAAACATATCTGTTTCAATTAATTAGTCTTAAGATTTCTCGGAAAGTAAGCATAAATCACTTGCGAATAAAATCAAAATCTGGCTGTTTTTGATAATTATGTATAAAGGTTCAGGAGGTTGAAACAGGTGAAAACAAAACTAAGATGCCTCTGTTCACGGACCTGGTGGTCCTCGAGATCCTGGGGGGCCTACATTCCCCATTTCTCCCTTAGGTCCCCGGGGGCCTGGGATTCCAGGATCTCCTTTAACACCTGATTGTCCTTTGGGCCCACGTGGTCCTGGCTTTCCTTCTGGTCCTGGTGGTCCCCTGTCTCCCTTAGGACCAACTACTCCTCGTGAACCAGACTTCCCGTAAGAACCTTTACTTCCCTTCGGACCAGGTGCCCCTATAGGACCTCTTGAACCTTTGTCTCCACGAGCACCCGGAGGCCCATCTAAACCTCGTGCACCAGACTTTCCTGCAGGTCCTTGTTCACCGGTGTCACCTTTGGGTCCGACAGGTCCAACATTTCCCTTTATTCCTGCCTCTCCTTTGTTTCCTTTTGGTCCTGGCAGACCTGGCAAACCTATGGGAAAAGTATAATAACTTTGAATAGATTTTGATAACTCGGATCAGAAAAGTTAATCATTTTGATTAAGGTGACGCCATGCACATCTCAATTGTCACTGCAGTTTTATACAGATTGATTCAGATAATTGCCTTGGTCGTTCAGAACCTCAACATATTGCTAAAAAGAGACACAATGTTGATTCTCTGGGTTGGGATGCAATACATCGAATATAGATAGGGAACAACAATTTATACAGCATAAAAGACTGCTGATTGGTTGGACCAGGATTGACATAGAAATGAAGCAGGAGCTGTTCACCATCAATCTTAGTAGACTGATTCATTTCAGACCATGCAAGTAAACTCTGACTGCTCAGGGCATTGCCATGGTGGAATGCAGCAGCAATTGGTAGTCTCCATAATCTTTTCCTCATTGAAAAAGATGCAATGTGCAGACATATTAATTTTGCCTACACAGATCAGGGGCTGGTGTGTGAATATATGCGAATTCAAGTGTGTACAAATGAGTCAAACTGATAATTTTAAATTGGTTTATGATGTAACTCTAACCACAATCTGGATTAGTCAGTAAATGTTGTCCAATAACTGAATCATATACATGGTATCACACTGGCAGTGAAACTTATACCACATTTCTCATTTGTGTGAAAGGCAAAATATCCTTTTTGTCTTGACAGCAGCACCTTATTAATGGAGAATACCACTGTGTGCTCACTTCAAAAGTGTTCTTCTCTTTCCTTCTTACTGAGGAAGGAGTTACAGAAACTTCAGGCTTTGCTTTGTTATTGGTTAGGTTAGCACATATTCGTCTTTTACCCAACAAAACTGATTTGTGAATTGTAAGATATAGGTGACACAGATTTTCAAGTGCAGTCAATTTCAGGATATTTACATTTTATAGTTATTGGAAGGAATTAACTTGTGATAGCCAAGCCAGGAATAAAGAATGGTGTTCCAACCTAATGGAGCTTGAGATCAAAGTTGAATTTTGTTACAGGGATATGGCATCTCAGACAACTTCCTGCCTTCTATGTTTTGCTCTACATGTGTAGTTGCTGGAATTTGCTATCTAATTCACATTTTGACAATAATCAGGGCTGTTGGCCTCTCCGTTATTCCCATTGTATAATCCAGCCAAAGTCTTTCAGCTTCATGAGCACATCCTTCAAAAGGTGTACCTCAACAATCCTGCAATTCAGAGTTCTTGCTTCTAGTAGGCTTAACAATAACAACTTGGCTCAGTCTTAAATAATCTGGGGAATTACATTTGCCATCCAATGTTAAACTCTGAGTTCTCTTTATATTCCCAGTTCAAAAGAATTAAATGATTCAGATATTTAAAAATTTTAAAATTCTAGTATATTCTACATTAGAGCTAACTGCTGAAATACAACTTTCAAAATTACAGTAGTACTAAGTACCTGTGAAGCATTGTTGAGTATATGTTACCGCGTTGTTTGCATTGTTGAAGAAACTCTTGCGACCTTAGTTTTGTTTTAAAGGACACAGGCGGCAATCAACTTATGAAAACAAATGTGTTCCAGCTTCCACAAAGAGTTAGGAACATGAGAAAAGAAACTGAAGTAACTGCACAGAGGGTAGTATCCTGTCACCAACTTACTCTTTATTCACATGTGCATGGCACAAAGGCTCTGACCAGCCAGCTCAAAGCCAGTCCCTAGATTGGGGGCACCTTCTGAATCTCCTGTTTATCTTTTGTTTCTGATCGCCACTGAAATAACTGCACAGATGCCAGTATCTCATCACCAGGTCACTATTTACTTTGTGATGATACTGTGGCTTTAAGAGCAAAGAGAGGTTTTAATACAGAGGTGATGAGCTGTCTAGTTGAAATGCCAATAAAGTAAACAGATAGTGAAACCTTGGTTTTTTTTTTAAACTGGAACAATAGAAGCAGCCTGGATGGGTGTGGCCAGCTCTCTCAGACAAAGATTTGTAATGTTTTGAGTTTTAGGCTTAGCTTTAAGCAGTTGCTGTTGGGAGTCTCAACAGGGCAGAAGCTGCTGGAGTTTTGAAGAAGTAGAAGCTAAGTTTTTTCCTCTCTTGGCTGCAGCTAGAGGTGGGGTTTCTCTCTGCTGCTGGGTTACCTGTAACACAAATCTATTTTCTGAGTTTGCCTTTGTGCCAAAAGGTGTGTTTATGGGATGTTACTACATTGTATCTGTTACTGAATCTATTGTATCTACTGTATCTGATCCAACAGTTATTATTCTAAACTCCTCTTTCTTTTTGTTGCATTTTAACTGTTGTGTTAAAACAAATTATGTTTTGCTTAACATCGAGTAGTTTGACCAGTCATATTGCATCAGGAACTCAGCACTTTACAATTGCCTTTAAAGAAAGAAAAAGTTAGGGTCTGGGCTAACTTCTTAAAATCTTTTGAAGGGGTCTGGTCCATAACAAATTGGGAGGCTCTTGTCGGAATCAAAATCTCTTATTTCAGTTTGGATTTGGGATTGTTGGACTCAAAGGCAACAAGTGGCAAGCATTAGTGTCTTTTGTTGAGGGTGTTGAATTTGGTTGGTTTAAATAGACTGTGCTTTATGTAGTAATGGCTCTTTCAGTCACTGGGGGTAGAAGAAGTCACTGCAGAAGTTTTACAGAAAGTGAGAAAGGCAAAGCTTTTGGAAATGGCAAACCAGTTGGAGTTTGTGTTGTCTTTGTCTGTGTGAAAACCGGAAGTAATTGCAGCAATAGTTGGACATTTAGGATTACCAGAAATGCCATTGGGATCTTTGGAAATGGCTAAAATTCAATCACAAATGAAGCAGCTTGAAATAGAGGCAAAAGAAAAGGAAAGAGTGGCCCAGGCAGAACACAAAGAAAGGAAAAAGGAAATGGAACAATTTGTATTAGGATTTAAAGCAGAGGAAAAAGAGGAAAGGAAGGCCCTAGCAGAAGAAAGGCAAAGAGAGAGAATAAAAGCAGAAACAGAGAGAGAATTTGAACTTCACAAGTTGTTAATTAGAGAAACAAGTTGACTTTAAAGTGTGGAGGTGTAGGCAGAAAGTAGGGCAGCAACTGTTGTAAAGATTGTGAAGCCCGATGGCTCGGTTCGCCTTTGTGGGGATTTTAAGCAAACAATAAACCGCTTCTCACAGCTGCATGAATATCCAATCCCTCGTACAGAGGACTTGTACGCAAGACTGACAGGAACCACGCCTATCTGCAATTGTGATTAGGATAGGAGTCCTAGAAATATGCCACAATTAATACCCATAAGGATTTGTACTGATAGACAAGACTTCCATTTGGGGTATCATCAGTTTGAGCCCTTTTCCAGCAGACGATGGACAACATTTTACAATGGTCACCACAGGTTGCCAATTATCTGGATGATGTGCTAATAACCAGGTCGACCAATAAAGAACACTTGGAGAACTTGGACATAGTGCTTAAACATTTCTCCCTGGCAGACGTATGCCTTTGGAAGGAAAAACGTGTGTTCCAGGTGCCCCAAGTGACCTACTTGGACTACCGAGTTGACAAAACTGGTTACACTCATTGGACAATAAAGTGAGGGCAATCAAAGGAGCCCCGACTCCCACATCTGCAACCAGAGCTTAGGTCTTTCCATGGGTAAACGAATTATTACAGGAAATTCATACGTAACCTGGCCTCCATCTTGGCACCCTTACACCTGCTATTGAGAAAGGGTCAGCCTTGGAAATGGTCGCATAGCAACTCAATCCCAGGCATCATAGTACTGCCCTCTTGATCAATGGTGTGGGAAACTCCCCACTAACTGAAGCTTTCATATCCCATGGGGTCATCTGTCCATGTCCAATAACATGGTTCAGGAACGCGACTTGGGTCTTTGTGAATTCACACTTAGTCAGGTTTATCACCAAACCCGCCTCCTGGAGTCGATCGAACAATTCCGATAGATGCTGCAAATGTTCCTTCCACGGTGTGACTAAAAATCTGCCCATTACAAACTGCACTGGTTTGATGATTCCTTCACTTTCCAGCCTCCTGAAAAACCTCTGCATATTTAATTAGGACTTCACTCAAGCAGCCATTTTCTAATCGAAAAATGTTGAACCAATCAAGGTGAAACTTTCTCAAGTAATTCCAAGCCTCTCACTACCATCAGTGGTAACTGTACCAACTGCTTCTCATAGGAGACTAGAACTGAAGTCATACCCATAAAACAACTACTTGGGCCATATTAAAACACTGCAGTGGCTCAAGAAGGCAGCTCACCACTACCTTCTCAAGGGCAACTAGGGATGGGCAACAAATGCTGGCTAGCCAGCGATGCCCACATGCCACAAATGAATAGAAAAAAACCTGACTCTAAGTTCCAAAGAAAAAGTCCTTCAATCTGCAAAATTCAGCCACCATCTTGTATTTGCGTTCTCTGCAAAGAATCAACTTCCTTCCACCAAAACAGTGAAACAAAAGTTCTATTTCAGTAATGTCCCTCAGAAGATCTTCAAGGAGATTTTTCACAAGAAAAAATTGTCTTTGATTCCTGGAATTGATGCTTGACCAACCACCCACCAAACAAAAGAATTCCACACATCCAGCTTTGGACCGTTATATTCCATTTTAAAAGCAAAAACATGGATAAATGTCCAAAGGTGTTAGTGAGACCACACCTGTAGTACTGTGAGCAGTTTTGGTCACCTTATTTAAGGCAAGATATCATTTCATTGGAGGCAATTCAGAGAAGGTTTACTAGAATGTTCCCTGGCACAGAGAAACTGTCTTATGAGAAAAGGCTAAACAAGTTAGGACTCTACTGACTGGGCTTTTGAAGAATGAGAGGTGATCTCATTGAGACATAGAGGATTCTTAAGAAGCTTGATAGGCTGTTTCTTTTTATTCATCCACAGGATGAGGGCATCGCTAGCCAGGCAGCATTTATTGCCCATCCCTAATTGCCCAGAGGGCAGTTAAGAGTCAACCACATTGCTGTGGGTCTGGAGTCACATGTAGGCCAGGCCAGGTAAGGATGGCAGTTTTCTT